GGAGTGAAAATATAAAAAACTCACTTTACCCCGTATTCAGTTTGTCGATTGTCACTTCTATATTTGATTATTTATTATACCCTCAAGTTAGCTTGTGTATTGTTCCGTGATTGATTAGCTGCATTGTTGTGTTCTGCAAATGTTAACTATGCTCGTTACACGCATGCGTGTAAATAATTACTGCTTTTAATTATGTATATGGATGTCACAGAAGAGCTTACAACGGTCATTTCTTATATACAGGACAAAGATTTGCCCTGAGGGAGGGAGGCCGAACTGTTGGTGCCGGTGTTGTCTCAAAAGTCATTAGTTGAGATGCGGATACAAGGCTTTTAGGCCACCTCTTTTCATCTAATTTTTTCACCAGAAGAGGTTTAGAAATTTTGATTCATTTTTAATACATTATTGCAGGACAAAAGTTTGTCCTAGAATGGTTACAATGGATTCGCTCATCTTGGGATTTTGTTGAATGTCATTTTCTTGAGGGGATACCAATTAGTGAAATAAAAAACCACTACCTATATAAGCAAAACAAGGCTACATTGTATTTTTAGGTACAAAATCGTGCAAAGAACTGAATTGGAAAACTTGTCAATAGAAACTACCAAGTACCAACTAGGCAAGAGACTACAGATAACTAAATTGTTATGATTTCAAATCTGTAGTTGATAAATTGTTACCAAGATTTGTCAATGTTGTACATGCCCTGAGCACGAGTTGTGATGAGCTTTATATGGTTCACTTATCTTACAAGCAACGAGTACATTTTTGAAACATCTCGTGCATCTCAAGCAAAAGCAGGAAGTGGGATGAGTCGGATTAATTGCGACTATCCAAGAATTTCATTGTGTTGTGACAAATAATGGGATAATCAGTCAGTGTTGTATATGCCCTGAGCATGAGTTGTGATGAGCTTTATACTGTTAATGATTTTATCGAAAGCTTACAGTATCTTGCTGAACAGAGGCAAAGAGAAACCGAAGGGGAACTAGTATGACTAGTGTAACATCTATGATAGAATTTAGAAAAGCATAGGCTTCGGGCAGTTTGTCCAAACCGCAAGTACATTTTTGGAACATATTGTGTATCTGTATGATTTACACTAGCAAGATGAATTATATTATTGAATTAGGTTTTGATGATTTCAAAATTGAACCAAGTCGTTCGGAAATGGTCCACTTTAGTTTCAATCGTTATAAATTGTTTGAAATCAAATCGAATCATTCATTCAATTTTTATAAAAAAATATTTATTTTACCAAAAATATATAATTTGTTAGATTAATTATATTCAACAAATTTACTTTCTAGTCGATTTCTATTGGCTTTTTAGAAAAACAATGATTTATCTATAATAATATTTTTCTTATCTAAAGAATGTGATCGAAAACTTAAATTTTATGATAGAACTTGTATTAATTTATTAATTTAAGATTGTAGTGAGACAAATATATTATTATTGTAATATTTATGTTTAGAATTTGTTAATTTAAGAATTCACATGTTTGATAGGCCATTTTTTTCAATGGAAAATGGAATATAAATTCAATTTCTCACTTTTATCATGTTTGACAGTCAAAAATTTTCATGGAAAATATTTTCCTCCCACCTTTCAGGAGACTCATGTTTCCATGTTTTTGTTGAATTCGTTTTCCACCACTTTGGTGGGAAAAATGATTTTCAGCTTTTTTTAAAAAAAATTTTTGGCATTGAAAACAAATTCTATAGACAATTAGGGTCCGTTTGATTGCAAAGGTGGAAAGAAAATGTTTTACTGGGAATTGAATTGCTTAGAAATTGTTTTACTGGGAATTGTAATTAATTGTGTTTAATTGGTATAATTTTCCACCTAAAAAATGTTGAAAGTTTAGTGTCCGTTTGACTTCATTTTTTTATGGAAATTGTCCATTAAAATGATAATTTTTTCTACCATTCTATTTAGAATTTGTTCCAATTACCAAAAAGTTAAAAAAAAAAAAATTTAAACAATTAGAAAAAATTACCATATTCGTTTGACTTTGTTTTACATAGAAATTGTCAACAAAAATGAAAATTCTTTTTACAATAGTTGATAAAATTGGTTTTCTTTGCTAAAAAAAACAAAAAAAAAAAAAAAAGGTGAAAAATGTTTTCTCAACTAATAGGTGGGAAAACAAAATCAAGTTTTTGTGCAT